AAAGATAAAGATGAATTTGAAATGGCAGTAAAGGATATTTGGAATTAGAAGTTGAAAAAAGAAATATAAAAGGAATGAAATTTCCCACACATAAAGACTTTAGTCATTCTCAATCTGGTGTCTTGAAGGTGAGTTGGACAACAATTTCTATTGAACCATGTTGATTGTGCATGTTGATTACAAAACACATTTGCAAGGCACCTGGTTGAGAAAGGCTGATCTGCCCCTATTATTTGCTAAACTAAACCTATCCCCTTCTTATAATAATGTAAAATAAGAATATCTGGGAGACATCTTCCTTATTAGGTAGCAAAGAATAAGAAAGCCGAAAATCTAAGAGACTGAGCTAAAATACTCCAGTAAACCAAAGGCTATGTGTACACAACTTGACAGTAATATGGGCATGGTCAAGTTCCATATTGTTAGTCAGCTGGTTATTCAAATGGAAGAACATGAGATACATCAGCTGGCTTATTCTTGGGTTTTGGACACTATGTAGATAGTTGTAGACAGTCTGCAAATCTCTCACCCAAAGACTGCCAAAATTATGACATGTTCTTACACTGAAAAGAAGCAAGAATCCCTGTCAGCCCTATCTTTTATAAGACAACCTAATTTCCTCAAACATCAGTTGATTGCAATAGTTTAGTCTACTTAGTATAAAGCAGGGGGTGATAGAGAATATTTTTGTATCCAGAGAGTACAGCATTTAATAAATTTCTTTCAATGATCAAGAAGATGCAGACATTATGATGGTGATGTGATGATTTTATTTCAGAAATAGAATTTTTGATCCTTTCTTCATTTTTAGAGCAGTAAACAGTGGTATCTTTAACATTAATAGGCACATCAAGCTGTTAAGAGATTAATGCACCAGGAATGTGGCAGCACAATGAATTCAAGTCAATTAATCTTTATTTAAAGCAAGTCTTTGCAAACAGCCTTCTTGAGAGATTTTTTTTAAGCCAGCTTCTTCAGGTTGAGATGAAATATTGGAATGACAAAGATATACCTCTTTCATATGAACTTAATCAGATGTTAGATTTTTCTCTTTACAATTTAGCCAGGAAACATTTAACCCAAGGAACAACAACACCAAAGCTCTAATTAATAGTATTTATTATAAAAACTGCAAAAGATAATTTATTTAATATATAGCAAAAGAATTCCAATAAATTCCAAAGAGATGCCCATTTATAGACAATAAAAACTTTTGTCCATTTTTTAAGTTGAGAGGTGGAGAATGGCCTCTTTGTGAAGGTGGGACAATCTGTATCTATGTCCATCATTTTGGTACCTGTTCTTCCTCTTATCATTATGAAAAATAATTCTTGCATCAGACTCAGAAAAGTTTTTAAAAACAAAAGCCTAATTTAAGATGTGATTTGCTGATCTTTAGTCAACAAAGTTGAACTGCATCATCTGGTTTCTTACAAATGCATCAGAATGGACTTGTGTCTCTACTAACTCTTGGTATGATATACCTTATACCAGTTTTTGTTAAAAGGGAGCCGGGTATGTTGGAAACAAATGTAGACAGCTCTCAGAATTCCTAGCCATGCTGCACTTTGAGATCTGTCATTAATTATGTAAGCCTCTGGTTGTGATTGGCACTGAAAATGCTGTGCATGTGTGTTTTTTTAAATAAAAATAAATAAATGAATATGCCTAGTGCTCTAGATTCATTGGTAGCAGTATTTAGTTGGGAAACAATCTTGAATTCTAATGTTTGCATGCTATTATCAACATCATCCAAAGAACTCTCTAATTGTAACCTCTAACTCTGAGGATTATACAAAATGAAAGCAGTAAATAAGGAATCAATGAGAATAACTCCCGTAAGTGAAGGTGAGTATTAGGAGATAGATGTACTCTGTATATAAATTCAGAGCTGCCTAAATGGCTCATGTGAGGGCTCATTTGACTCGGAATGCAAAAGGACTAAGAGTTAAGAGGATTTCTCAGATATTCTTACAATATTTATTCAAGTCAGTTCAGGATTATTTAGGATTATTTTACTATTGTAATTAAACTGTAAATCAAAAATCCAATTTTCCCCTCAGTGTGCTGTCAAGGTTAAAAATCAAACACAAAATTAGTGTTTCTCAAACTTGATATCTTTAAGAAGTTTGTCAACTTCCAAAATTCCCCAGTAAGCATACTGGCAGAGTTCTGGGAATTGAAGTCAAAACATATCAAAGTTAACAAGTTTGAGACATTGCAACAACCAACAAAATGGTTCATATCCCAGGAACATTTGTGAAATAATTCATCAGTGATAAACTTGATCATATTTCAACTAGTTACTCAGAGATAAGATGGAAGAAAAGCTAAATCTGTTGAGAACTTGCAGGGAACCTTTTACAAAATTGAACTTTCCTGAAGATTGGCTTGTATTTGTAAAAATTACAACATCTTCCAAATTAGTATATAATTAATTCAGTAGGTAAGGGATATTTTTCAGATTTGTAGAACAATGTTGTGTCATTTTTCTGCATTACGCATGAGAGGTGTAGCTGTATTTTATGCTGAGTACATCCATAGCTTTAAGGGAAGTATAGGAGGGAAGAACCAGAGATTAGATCTTTGAGTCAGTGACACCCACAAGTCCACACCCATTGCAAGTTGAGTAACTTGTGTTTACTTTGCAATTCATTTATGCAAAACTAAGGTGAGGTTCAAGCTGAATTCAACTTTTTTTTTAATCCATGCAGCATAAAAAAGTTGTAAACATTACTTTCAAGGAGCTGTTTAATATATAGGCATGGAGGATACCTCAAATAGTTAGCTTTCTCAAAGAGGGCACCCATGCTTCAGATGTAATTTTCCACAGTACTCTGTACTAATTACAAGTATGGATGGACAAAAGCAACATTATATCCTATAGAGCAAATGTCTTCAATCTTGGTATGCAAATTCCAACTTTTCAGCGGTACATGAGCTGACTGAAGAAATATGGCAAATAAAGTATGCAGGTTGGGAAATGGGGTCATAGAAATATAGCAATAAAATGTTCTCTTTCAAAGGATGTGCAGTCCAATGTTAGCAGTAGAAGTATACAGAGGCAATTATTGGAAATACAAGAAAATAGCGGACTGAATTTTATTTCAATACCAGTATTGGATTAATATTGCTAAGGGAGCAGTTTTTTTGTGAAAAAAGTGCATTGATCCATGCATTGATACATTTATATTTTACTTCACTCTGCTCTTCTTCTCTGCACAGGGAGGATTTGATATAGCATAGCCTGAATTACCTTGACACAAGATAAGAAGGAAACATGTTGTGTACGGGACAGATTGCTCAGCTTTGTATATATACAAACAGAGCATGGAACCAGTTTTAGATATTTGTGCAACAAAGAATAAAAACAAACATTGATCCACTCTTCCTCATTTCTTCTTGAGCTTATTTTGGAATGACACAAAAAAGTGGATCCTGGGCTAAAAATTAAATATAAAAAGGAAGCAGAGCCCTCTGAAATATTTTTTCAAGACTAATTCCATAATTAGGGGGCATGGTAAGCAGTAAGAAGTCCTTCCTTTTGGACATTGCATTGCCTAGGCTGTTCAAAGTTACAAGTTATACTAAAGTCTCTCATAATTCAACTGTGTTTTCATTTTTACAGACATATTATCATATTTATACCTTACGGCTGAAGGTTGAAAGTGTATAGGGAATGTGAAGAATGGCAACAAAGATGTCTTTTGTAGATTTAATTCCTTAGCTCTTCAGTCAAAATATGCACACCTACTCAATCTTGACAACTTAGCACCCACCAAAGAAAGAATATCTGAATATAAGCGGGACATCTCAATACACATATCTCTAACAGTCATACCTAAAATAGATCCGATGTCAATAGATATTATCTCAAACTGAGATAGGGCTTGCTAATTAAACACTTAAAACTATTTTAGTTAATTAGGAACAAGTCAAAGGATAAAGCTTCTTTCATAGAGTTTGCTCTCTCTTTTTTGAAAAAAAAAAAATAGGGTTGTCAGACCTGGGCTGGAAAAATCAGGAAACTGACAAAGAAACCTCTAATTCTTTGCTGCCAGCTGGTGATTGTCCAAATTTTTGCAGCTCAGAACTAGAAGCCCTAAACAAGAAGCAATACTTCTGGATACTGAAATACTTTTAGTATATGTGCTGTTGAAGTAAAACATTTTGTCTCTGGAGCTAACATATGGGCACAAATTATATAATTTGGTGACCTTTAAAGGCCCCATTTATGAAGAATTTTATTATGCAGTTTCTATCTATTGCATTGGTCTTTGCATTCAATTCCTCTGGACAATCCCTGGCTGAAGCAAATAAGTATTGCATGGTTGCCTTGGTGGAAGAGATTTTAAATTTGCCAGATTAATTTTATCATGGACACTCTGCTTTCCAAATGAATTCAGAGTTAGTACCCACCCATCTGAGCCTGAAGGCTATTATACCACAATTACAGGCTACAAGAGAGAATTACCACCTAGAGAACAAGTCTTTTGCTGTCATCACCAGAGGCCACTAGCACATATCTATCTAAAGGCCTCCTGATGGCTGCAGTCAGAACAATTCTAATCCCATATGAAATGACAAACATTTGATTAAATTGTCTCAGGAAATCAACTTCTCATTGTGCTCTTTAAACAGTGCTTTTACAGGAGCTACAATTGGAATCTGCTGTACTCATTATTCTTATGTTTAATTATTTGAGACGGTGCAAAGATCCAGGCTGCTAGCTTGGTTTTACAGGTTACAACATGTTTCCATTTCATCCAGTCATTCTTACCAAATACGTAGCGTAGTTTTCTAGCTGAATTGTTGCTTAATATAGATCTCTTGGAGTACAAATTAAAAATGCCCACCAATGCCACCCCCGAAAAAGCTCTGATGGCTGGATCAGTTCTAAAGTACAGAGCCTGTTCAGGTGAAAGTCCACAGCTAAAGTATAAATCACTTTTCCTTTTCCTTCCCACTCTGCCTTGAAAACTCAAAGAAGCCATACTGACCTGAAGTTTTCAGGCTGTCAGAGTTGACCTCTTGCGTGAAGATCCAAGGAGGGTTGGTGGCAAAGAGAGAACTGGTGGAATTGTTGCTGGCATGCTTTTTCCCAAAGAGTCGGCTAAAGGTTCCCTGGACTGAATTATGCTTCTTCATCCTTATTTCTTCTTTCCTTAGTGTTTCTTAGCTCCTCCGCTTAGAAAAACATATTTCCAGTTTGCTCAGTTACCACCCAGCACACAGAGCTCCAGCAGGTGTTAGTCTGAGGAACTCTCTTTTCAGCTGCTTTAAAGCTAAACCACCTGAGCAGGTAGAGGGCTGGCTGCTGTTGCCTGGCCACACCCCACAGCAGCTCCTTCCGTCACATTCTTTCCTTGCTGCTACAATAAGTCATTGTTAAGCCCAAAACAGTTTGTTACCTCTGAACTGGTGAAGGTCTTCCCCAAGACAATGCCACGTCCCAAGTATGACTATAAGCTTTACAGTGCTCCCCTGGAAAACTGCAAAAAAACAAGCACACTGTCCAGATGTTCAGATTAAAACCATGTAAACATGTATGTATTTGTTAGCAACACAGATTCTCCAGCCTGCCAGGTCAATATTTATTCAACTTTATAACCTTCTCTGTTTGTTAAAGGTTTAGAAGCAAGATTTGTAAATGTGCATTTTTAAAGAAAAATTGCTGTATTTTCTTTTTAAGTAAGTTTCACGCATGCAAGAGAACTCAGCCATGGCAGAAGCTCAGAAGTGGAGATCTTCTGAAAATCTGGAATGTGGCCATCCTGTGCCATCCAAATATTATCACCAAATTGTCATGTTTAATCTCATTGAAAGGGAAAATGATGAATATAATATATATTAGAGCTGCCGAAGCAGGTGCTTCAGGGTACACAAGCATATGTACTATTTGTAGGAACTCCCTAAAGCAAATGTGTCTTTTGGGAGAGCACAGTGCAGCTGCGGAAAGTAATCACACAGTCCTGGGGAGAGGAACAGTTGCTTCAAAGAGCTGCAGACAGCTGCTTACATGAGCACCTCCAAACATTCCAAAGCACTACATGGCATTGCATGTAACTATACATGAAGTGAAATCAAATTTTGTTCATCTGATCCCATTCATATTTTGCAGGGCAGCTTCCCTAGGAAGATTTTATGTGTGGAGGTATCTAGACATGATCCTGAAAGAATCTTTTATGAAGGACTTAGAGAAGCAATTATATACAAGTAGTCCTTGGTTTACAACAGACATGTCAAACTTGCAACGTCATGTGATATCGTGTGACGTATCGGAGCTTTTTCGCCATTGCCAGCAATGGGGTGGGCGCAGCTCCGGTATGATAAAACCGGCCCGCAGGCCGGCAGTTTGACACCCCTGGCTTACAACAATTTGGACTAGAATTTCAGTTGCTAAACTGAATAAAGTCACATCTGATTTTACTACTTTTTTGCCATCCTTGTTAAGTGAATCACCATAGTTAATAAATCACATAGTTGCTAAGCAAATATGGCTTCTCCCATTAACTTTGTTTGTCAGAAGCTGCCTGGGAAAGTTTCAAATGACCCTGGAAGGTGCAACTTGCTGGTTGCCAAGCACCTGAATTTTGATCACATGACCATGGGGCTGCTGCAACAGTTGTTAAGTGTGAGGACCAGCCATAAGTACTTTTTTTCAGTGCCATTGTAACTTTGTACAGACCTTAAACAAATGGTTGTAAGTCAAGGACTATCTATGGTCTAGAGCAATGTTTCTCAACTGTGGCATTTTTAAGACGTGTGGACTTCAACTCTCAGAATTTCCCAGGTAGCATGCTAGTTGGGAAATTATGGGAGTTGAAGTCCACATATCCTTAAAACACCAAGGTTGAGAAACGCTGGTCTAGACTCTAAAACAAGTATGGGAAGAAACTCAATGGTTGTTTCTATAAGATGGGGCATAGAAAATGACCAGTTTCCAAATTTCTCTTATTATATCTTACTACAATAAAGACCACTCCTGGAATCCCTGTGGTTTGTTGAACCTGGCCTACTCAAAGGGCTGTGGTTGCCCACAGTTTTTTGATTGGGGACAAAATTAACACTTTGAGCCAAAAGCTGCAGAGACAAGGCAATGATGCAAAAAGGATGGAGCCCTATATACGTCAGTGGATCCACTGCCCTTTTCCCCCTGGCCTTTGAGAAGACATTGGATAGAGTTTTTTAAATTTAATTAAGCCTATTATAGGACAATTTTTGATGGTTAGGAAACATAGCTGAAATAAGCAAAATTGTCACACATTTATCAGAAAACTCTATTTGAAATATGAACTCAGCTCTAGAAAACTGAGTTGCTTGTGAAGGCCTCAGCATAGTTGCACTTCAAAGAAACATTTTTATGGGCCACTTTAAAAACACAAATAGGGTTAATTTCTCAAATGTACTGATGAGATCATTTGGTGACAGCTAAATATGTCTATTCAGAATAAAAAGTAGAGATTTAAAAAAAAGTTTAAGCTTCCTATTACATATGTCCAGATTAGGATGAAATAACCATTCCTGAAATCACAAAAGAATATATAGATTCTCTTTCCATTTAGAGAGAAAATATAATGCACCAAATCAAATCTTTCTTATGATCATTGACCAACATAAGGAGAGTGGGGTACAGTCAATTAAAAAGCATAGAAGATTCATCAGAATAAAAAAACAAACATTGTGAAAAATGAAGTCATAAAAATATATTAAAACAGAAAATACATATAAAAAACAAGACTATAAAAGAATCTAAAAGGAGGGGTCAGAGCATGCATGTAGGAGAGCATAAAGATTAGTATGTGGAAGACTATATCTACCAAATTAGAGAGCATTCTGGTATGACAAAAGAGATGCTCATTATGTCTACGGCACGGTCATCATCTGACAAATTTTAAGTGCTACTGCTCAGAACCTGGCAACACTGTATTTTGTATCAGGCTTGGTACCTGAAAGCAGCAGAGAAATATAGAATTGTCCTTGCTCTCTGGGTATTTGTGCAGTACTGGTGAGTTGAGGCTTGTACAGATGTCTCTGTAATACAGGCACTGGAGAAGCATAATCTCTGTTGTTTCTGTGTCCAGAGGCACAGGGACATATTTTCTCCAGGTAAGGAACCTTCCTGTATCGGCCTTCAAGACATTGTGCCAGAGTAAAGGGCCTCCAGTGTTTAAGTTAAGGGGAAGCAAAGTACCTGTTGGATTCACTGGCACTTCATGTCTGCTACACACAATTTAATGAGCATTTTGGCCTGATCATATCCTATGCTGAGTAGAAGACTTGGAGACATGAGATTTTAATTTCCAATTCCTATTTCCATGTGAACTGAAAATCATTACTCACCATTTAAATTGCCTGTTAAATATGTACAGAGGAAATAATTATTCTTGAATTCACAAAAGAATATATTTATAAAAAAAGTATAATGGACAAAAGCTGCTTTTATTTGAGATTATGAATTTTACTATTTTAGCATTTTTCAGTTATTAAATACAGGGGTAAGCAGAAATAGGTAATGATCCACAATCTATTTCCAAAGGTTTCTGTTCACTTTTCAGCTTTTGAGACTCTTATGTAGAATGCTTTATCAACCCCCCACCCCACAAGTCTTCCAGAGGCGTCAGTAAGATGGACTAGGGCCAGTGGTGGGATTCAAATATGTGAACAACCGCTTCTCTGTGTGGATGCCACTCCCAGAAGTCCATTCTGGGCCTGGGCAACAAAAAACTAGCTACCGATTCTGCTGAAGTGGTGCGAACTGGCTGAATTCCACCACTGACTAGGATCTTCTAATTGGAAATCCAGGGAATAAATAGAAACTAGATGGATGAGAAATGTTGTGGACTAGTCCTAAAAATATATAAGCAAGAATGATCATTTAAAATAGATTAGTTATTTTTATTTCTTAAAATCTGGTGTTTGTCTATAAAAATTAAATATATAAGACTGTAGTAGTTATAGTTCTTAAAGAACAAAATATATTTATGCAGCTATGAAGTCAATCCCCTTCTACTTCACTTCATCAGCAGAAAGTACATCAATATGAAAGACATCTGTTAACCAAAATATGCTGCCATACTGCATATTTTAAAAAAATTAGCAAGCTAAAGCATTAATTTCTTGAGACATTAAATATTTATGAAACATTACCTGCTGTTTAAGATTTAATGTTGAGAAATGTTTCATATGCTTACAGCTTTTTCTTACAACCATAATTTGCCAGAACTACTTGAAATACTTACAGTTAGGGGGATGAAGCTCCATTTAAATTGAAATGGCCATTATTTCTTGATAAACCTGACTAAACTGTCAATCAGAGTGTAAATTTCATTTTAAGCATTGTTCCAATTGCAAGAAGTATATTTATATTTATATTTTATATTTTTTTAAATTTATACCCCGCCCTTCTCCTGGCGGACTCAGGGCGGCTTACAGCAAGTTAAAAACAGACAAACCATACAAAATACTAAGTTTAAAATACAATTAAAATGAAATCTTGCAAGTATCTTGCAAGTATATTTAAGTTTGATGGACAAATATATCAACAAATCAGAGGGAACACCCATGGGATCACCACTTTCAGGACTCATAGCAGAGATTCTAATGCAATGTCTAGAAACTATAACTCTCCCATGCATACAACCCAAAGTATGGATCTGGTATGTGGGTGACATCTTTGTCATACTGTAATAAAAAAGAAACAAGAGAAGACACATGAAGCAACCAACAACATTTTCAAAGGAATAATACTCACAAGGGAAGAATAAAACAACAATGCACTATCCTTCCTGGATATTCACATAAGCAGAGGCAAGGATGGCAAATTAGAAACATAAGTTTATCATAAAATCATCCACACTAATCAAGTATTCCATTACCAAAATAACAACCTAACCTCCCACAAGAGAATCTGTGTAAGAACATTATTTAGACAAACACAAACACACTGCAGCAACCCTGAAATCAGGGAAAGGAAAGAGATCATTTATACAACATCTTCCAGCAAAATGGTCTGAGAAATAATCATTATACATTGATTTCTGCGTTGTTCAGATTTGTGAATTCAGATACAGATAATCCATCTTTGAAAGGTGCTATTTCTGCAACTGGGCCAATCTTCAGAAACTTCTAAGTAGTATAGGGAACAACAGAGAATTTCAC